GACTGCGAGGCTCAATGCACCGCTCCCCTCTTGCAGCGATCCCGACAACGTAGCTTTCTGCGTGCTGGCCACGGACGAGGAGGACGAGGGGGATATTGCTCTGCAGATCCACTTCACCCTGATCCAGGCCTTCTGTTGCGAGAATGACATTGACATTGTGCGGGTGACTGATGTTGCCAAGCTGGCTGCCATCGTGGGGCCCAACGAGGAGTCTGGGGAGCCACGGGACCTCCACTGCATTGTCATCACGGTGAGTGTCCTGTGGGTGATCGGTGCTCTGTGTGCTGTCCTCTGGGACTGTGCTTATGCTACCAGTTTCTGCGTGGGACAATTAGAGGCTTTTAGCGTGGCCCCATCTCGTGTTGGTAGTCAGATCCTCTTCTGGGCAAAGAAAGGAGGCTTGGCACACACTGTACAACAAGTCAGCTGAGTAGTAGTAGTAGGCTACGGTTCTTGTAACTGTGGATTGCTGCTGCCCACAAGGGTAACAGTTCTGCTTCCTGGTTTGTGTCAGGACAGAAACCACCTGAAAATGCCTTGTTTCCTAAGCCAATGCTTCTGTAAATATTGTGATTACTTCAGCTGGCAGGCAGCACTCATGGTGTGCAACTTTTTTCTTTCTGGCAGAACCCAAGTGAAGATGGCTGGAAGGACCCAGCTCTTGAAACACTGAACTCATTTTGTGAAGAGAGCCGAAATGTCAATGACTGGGTGCCAACCATCACCCTGCCTGAGTGATGGTGACCGGTACTTTGGGGAGGCTGAAACTTTTGTTACATTCTCAACGTGGCGTGGGTTCACCGAAGTGTGCAACAAGCTGCTGATTCCATGGATTAGCCTGGTCAAGAGACTGGATTAAAGTCACTCAGACTGGCATGCAGTGCGTTCTTACTGAGGAGAAAGAACAGCTCGCCTCACCAGTGAGCCTCAGTAGGCTGCAACCGTGGAGAGGCTGACATACCATGGAACTGAAAGAAGTATTGCAAGTTTCCTGGTCAAGCGGAGCTGTTTCAGAAGGCAGAGAGGAAGTTTGGGGGAAGTGGGCCAAAACTTTCTGGGAGGACTGGACAGAGTAACTCAAGGAAATTAGGAACTGTTGATGCTGTCTAAAACAGAGAAGAAAGTTTCAATATTTGATGGACTACTAGGGACTGGTTACTAAGACAAATACAGAGACTCCAAAGCAGACAGACCTCAACAGTCCTCTTGGGTCACTCTGCAGAACTGGTTTAATAATGCAATAATTTTTATTAAACTATTTGCTGCTATTGAAGCTTTCATAATAAATCTTTTGACAATTAATATCTGGGAGTGTCTTGCTTACTGGGTGGGGAAGCATGTCACCGAAATGCCACTGATGTTTTGCTTGTGTGCTGTAGTCAAAGGTATATTCCACAGTAATGGAGTTATTGCTCACTTTCTCTCTGGGCCAGCTGAGTGAAGAGCTGTGCTGTCCAAGTTGATAATTCAACCTTTCACCCTCTTGCAACAGCTGCTTATCGCAACAGCTTGCAAGACTGAGGACCTGCATGCTTAATGAGCTCACTTATTGTAATAGGTGGTCTTTGTAGTCTACTGAAGGAACACAATACTTGTTAGAAACATAGATTTTTGGAATAGAGACCTCTAGTAAATTACATCATTAGTTCTTAAATATAACTTAGACTCATTCAGAGCTGCAGTGTTCCCACTTGACAGAAGCAGCTTAAATGCAATTGGGAGGGGGAGGGCGACAAAACTCTGTAGATGTCAAATACATCTCACATTTGCTTTGATTAGAAAGACATCGTTAAATCTGAAACTAGCTAATAGTGAATAAACATCACATCTGCCACAAGCTGCTCTGATTGCCATATGCTGTAACAATAGAAGCTGTCACTCCAGAAGCCAATTTTGCAAAATGTAATTGCACGACATCTCCAAATTAAGTCCAAAACAATTTAAGGATGGTGTGGCCTTTTTTTAAAGGTCCTGTCATGGAAAGTTAATATGGGTGGGCTGATTTGACTCTATGTTGAAAGGGAAAATATCCCCCCCTCCCTATTTCTGTGCATGATCTATATGTATGCTCCAGCACTTGACATTAAAATGGCATAGAAATGATTCCTCCTGCACAGAGCAAGAAAGCTAAACTACTTGCTTCCTCTACAGACACTAAAAATACTCAGTTATCAGAATTACATTTCCTCTAGGCTGGCTTGCACTGATTGACAGTAGCACTTGCTGAAAAGTGGTGATTTCTACATCGGGTGTCTTGTGAAGTTGCAGTTTCTGGGAAGCTGCTTGCTCTCGGTTTCGTTGTTCCTGATAGGGGAAGTTCAAATGCAGCTCCAGCATTCCTGGAATATGCTCCCTTCTACAGAAGGTATGTAGCACTGTGTTATGAGGGTTTGTAGGATGGCAACATCACCAGAGTTTAGGCTGAAGCAAAAACTATAGGGGCCTCAAACCTCTGCGAGTATGCCTTCTTGCACTTAAGATACAGGAGTTGCTGTGCAGCCTGTTTTTCTACTTAACCTGCACTCAACTGGTGTCAGCTCTAGGACTATGAGAAAAGTCACGCTGAGGACCTAAGAGAATAAACAGCTTTGGCAGCTGTGGTAACAGAAACTGCCTTTAAGGCAATTGCCTTGATACATAGAAAATATCAAGTCTGGAAGCTTTATTACACATTTTTATATTTTTCCCTTAGCAAATGCAGGTTTCTTCAATGGTTTTGCAGCTGAGAAACATATTTCTGTTCTTTGCTTGGGGCCTAATCAGTACTCAGAGCCAAGAACAGATTAAAGTGAACTGTCCTGAAATCAACTTTTATGTAAAGTGTAAGCAGTACTTTACAGCCTTGACTGGTTTAAACAAAAGCCTGAGAAGATCGAAGGAAATTCTCAAGCATGTATACAATTACATATGCAATTAAATCATAGCAGAGAAGTACAACCAATCATTTGTTGGCTGAGACAGTAGGTATAGATAGTTGCACCTGGTAGGAAGTTTAACTTTCCAGCTCTTATGTGAGGAATGGCTGTGCAGCAAATAATAGTGAAATTAATGAGGCAATACACAAATACCCTTGTTAGGATGTTGCCTCTAGTCCCTTAGAAGACGGGAGGCTGACCTTCACCTCCCCGGTAGTCTTGTGAAGCTGTAAGCTGTGCCTCATGAGAGGTACACCGTTCCTTATTTTAGTGACCCATACAATTCTCCTGAAATCCCTTCTGGCTCGATGCAAATACACTGTAGCATGAATAGTATTAATCTGAGTTAGCCTGCAAATGTTATTAATACGGCGTTGCAACTAAAGGCAGCTGTAACTTGCAAGTTATGTGCTGCTGCAAATATCTGTAGTGATCAACACTACTTAATGTAGCAAAAATTCAGCGGCTGGTATCTACTGATACAAGTAGGCTTCATCTTTACATGCTCAGATATATAACTGTGCAAGGAGCAACTAGACAGTTGTTAAAGATAGACAGTGGACTTGGGTGTTACTGGCTGTGATGGGGACAGCTGGTCGGGAGGTGTTGGCTGGCTCACCAGATGCCCAGGGTGTTTTGTCAGGTATTTGGGGGAGCTGGATGGAGGGGACACCAACCTCTTGCGTCTGTGAGCAGCGTGCCCTGCGTACCTCTCCATCCCAGGAAACAGGAGTGCCCAGGACAGGGGCACTACGGGTTTGCAGGAGGCAAGGAGTGCTGGGACCTCTGCTGCAGTGCCTACATCCCTGCTGTGCTGCGCGGCCTTCACGGGCTGGCTTGCTTTGTGCCACGGCGAGTTACGTCAGGGGCTCTGGGAAGGAGATTGAGGTTAATCATAAAGGTGGTTCTCCAGAACATGAGCCAGCCTGGTGACACAGCAGGAGGTGTAGGACACAGAGGGGGAGTCACAGAGTGGTAGTCCTTCTGGTTCTGGTTCTGAAGGTCTGTTTTCCATCACACCCTTCGCTTGTGTGCCACTAGGTGATCAAAACTGCATATTTAAATATTATAATCATAGACATTTGTGTTGTGCTGTCTATATGTTTAAGTACATTTTTTAAATGAAGTGATGTATAAAGTTTCATTTAAAATTTTTTGGGTTTACGTTTCTGTGCCTGGGTATCTATTTCACCATCTAATGGTACTGACTGGCAGGAATTTCCCCTTGTATGCTGTTTCCTTCTCTTAATGCTGTTTTTTTTTTCCTGTTACACTTCTGTGCATCAATTTACTTTTTGCTCTTTTGTGGTTATAGATGGTGATCTTCTCTTCAGATGCCTGATTCTTTTAGTATATGCTACATTGAGTCAACTGCCTTATCGTCTTGTCAGGATGTGTACATGCATACTGGCACACAGGACACAGTTGTAAATAATGCTTTCTCTTTGCTGTTGAGTAGGAAATACAAAAAGGAAGATAATAGAAAGTATATTAGAAAGAGGCAGGCAAACTGCTGCACAGAACAATGTTTGTATAAAATCTGTGCGCACGCTAGACGATCTGCTCAAGCAGCATTTATAGTGCTGGATGCTCAGGGAAGGAGCACTGACGTGCCCTCTCTGAAGCCTTAGAGTTCTGTAAACTGGTGGAGTTTTAGCTGTAAGTGGAGGCTGTTGGAATTAACGTATGTTCTGCAAGGAGACAATCTTTGCAAAAATGCTAGTGGCAGAAACATGCCATAGCACCACTGTCTGGCACATAAGGGAAAACCTGGGCTCTGTCAACAAATCTATGAACTCCAGCTCTCAGATCCCCTGCCATCAGGAGGAGAGAGCAGCGTGCGTCCAGGTTAAACCTTGGCAAGTATACAGGCAGTACATTACTAGTGCAAGCAAACATCACATGCGTGAGCAAGAGAGATGTGTGGAGAAGGACGTGTGAATATTGTATTCCTTGTGGGGACACACATTGTGGACAGCTGTGCTCATGACTATGCATCCACAGGACCTCATTCATTGTAGAGCAGCAGTGGCAGAAACCGAGACTGGCAGAGGGATGGAGCTGTACAGGCAGTACATACGCCTCACCAGAACCATTCTTTCTACAGATTTTTATGAAACCTGTGTCTCATTCCTACTCATTCCTTATCCATTTCATCATGGCAGGTATGATTTGCTCACTTTGTAAAGTCTGAACATGCAATGATAGGATATTGGAAAAGCTGACTTAATACTTCATGTATAATTATTTCATACTGAATGAGTGAATACTCCTATTATTCTTCATTGTCCTGCAGTAAGATATCCTTATAACACAGCATTCAGAATATTAGAGTGTATGTGAAGTATTAATATTAATGTATCGGCATCTTTAAAAGTATAATCGGATCCTAGACATGACAGTTGTAGTGGCTATAAAATCGCCTCCAATCTCCCACTGCAATGGCATATGATTATTTTGCCATACTTATTTTCTGATTTTTATGCATGGAAAGAACATAAAATTATTTTATTCTGTGTGTCTAATCCTCTCTGTAGAGCTGACTTTAGTTTGAAATCATGACTTTGAAAAGTTAGTATGAGTGCACACTGCTGATTCAAAAGTAGTTTGTGCAACTATTTTTTTTTTGGTTCTGTGTTGGAGAGATAGCTATAGAGATATAACAAGAGGTTTACTGACTGATTTAATATTTCCTGCGTGCTACAACTGATGAGAAAAAACCCACCCTTTTTTCAAGAAGAGCTGTTGTAACTCTGTGTAGAAAGTCCCGTGTGCTAGAATCCATTGCAGAAATAGTGATAAAATTTAACAAAGAATACCCAAGATTAATTTCAATATCGGAAGCAATTTTTACTGTCCCACCACACCATGAAGTTAAGAATTTTCAGAGCGGTGAATCTAAGGTTTGCTTCCTACTCCCTGTTTTGGGGCTCCTCAGCTATTGCAGCCTGGCTTTCACATCCTACTGAAACCAGTAGGAAGCAATGGCACTTAGTAATTTCTGTTTAAATCCCTAAACAAGTAACTAAGACCCAAAGTTTCAAATGTGGCTTCCAGAAACAAGGCACCTGAATTAGATACCTACCAGATACATTGAGATACCTATATGCTCAGCTGGGAGCCCAGAGTCAAAACTCTCCAACCAATCAGCTTATTTAGCTGTATAGCCATAAACTTACATACCAGCCTTCAGGCTTTTACTCTTCTGCTTAAGAGCGTGTAGCGTAGGGCACGGTTAAGTGGCTGAAATGAATCTGTGCATCTTCGCCTGCTAACCTGCTTTGGTTCACATGGCAGAACAGAGTTGGAACATGCAAACAGGATTTCTCTTGGAAGAAACCAAGCCAGAAGACATACTCCAAGGGACCTGCTAATGTTTTCCAGCTG